CCTCAGATGACAAATGTACCAAGAATGCCCATGTATCAGATGTCTGAAAGGAAACCGTGAGAGGAGAAAATCCATCTCATACGATTCCTACAACGTCAATGCCACAAGTATCACGATTTTTGACAGACATTATCCCAGTAGAAGCTAGTTACTTACAACAACTGATCTGTGTGGTGGATCATGGTTATTATGCTTATGAGGGAAGTCATCGCTCAGATGAAGCACACTCTTGGTTAAAACAGGTGATAAAATCTTTCACTAAATTAGAAATTTCAAAAGAGTTTCTACTACCCATCACCGAGGAACTTCTTGATGGAAATGCTCAGTTATGGTGGGAGCACAAAAAGAAGAAAGTACGTGACATGCCATCTTGGTTTAACTTTTTGAAAGAATTTACAGACTACTACTTCTCACCAGCTGAACGTGATCGAGTAGAAGAAGTATTCTACTCAAAGAAGCAAGACGATTTAACTTCGCTAGAATTTGCAGGAATTCTTTATGATAATGTTATGTACTTACCAATGTGCATATTATATGAGAATCATATTAGTGAAAGATTCATGATGGGAATACACCCGGGTGTACGACAAATCATGAAAGTGACTTCGCTAACCAAATTCCGAGATTTGGTACGATTGGAAGAAATGGAAGAATTGATCTAGAAAGGTGAACTCCAACAATCATCTCACTTACACAAAGGAAAAGAGATTATGGTAGAACCCTCTACGCAAGTAAAACGAGTACGTGATCTGGAAGACCCTTCTCTTAGTGTTAGAAGAAGAACCGATACAGAAGGACTGATGGGTGGAACCCCTAGTCAACCGCCACATGAGTGTGAACTAGGTCAAGATCAAGCAATTACTAGACCGCACACAAGGATAAACCTCCAGAATGACTAAAATCAATGTACGAGTTATCCTTTAAATCAGTCGTAATAACATCCTTCAATAACAACTTGTGATGTCAAGCAGAGTATTATAGAAACAAATGCCTCTTCGACGCAATCGTTTGGGAATTTAAGAAATACTTAGCTGAGCAACCAAAGTATTCTAAGGGTATGTGTATGTATATGGACTTGTCTAGGACTGACGAGTGTGGATCTAGTTTTGATCAGTTGAACAGAGTGCATGAAAGATGTATCCTTGATAACCTAATCAGCATCTGTAATCGATTTATTTCCTTATAATGAAGTGACTCTACAAAAGAAATTGGGTACGACCCTCGCAACCAAGAAACCATAAATGGGTATGCTATGTGACTGTTGAAACACATGAAGATAATGATTGAATATACGCTTCAAGGTATACAAATGAGAAGGATACGACAGTACCTATTGTTTTAGGTAATGACCCTATGGTATAATACGTAACCGTGACCCTAAGGGGGAGAGACATCAGCATCTGGTCTACAGCAAGGAAAGTTGTTCCTATCAAGATTTAAAAGTTTAACTGTGTTGAACGTAACAAGTTGTTCATAATAAGTGTACTAGTTATAGAAAATGTGGTTGTGTACGTGTAAGCAAGTATATTTACATTTTTTTTGAAGGAAGTTTTATTTAATCCGAAGAAAAGAAGTGGATACATCACATTTGATAGCTCCCCTAACTTTAGTCGGGAGACTATCAAAAGAAATATAAATCGAAAAAACATTGTTTTGAATTGCATGTTGGGCCAAGTGATGGGCTCCTGTGTTTGCCTCCCTGAATATGTGATTTACTCGCCCTCCGGAACTATTGATGTGTTCCCTGCTCAGCCTGCTAAGAAAGTCATTATTTGTCTGATCCTTAATTCTTTTAACACAGTTACTGGAGTCGCTGTAGAGATTGATTGGGAGGAGATCAAGGAAGACTGTACTAAAGCAGTTCAAGAATTCTTCCTAGGCATCCCAATTCCTAAGTGCATTTCTCACTCTAATATAATCCTCATTCTCAAAAAAGAGAATCCCATCACTTGTGAGGACTATAGGCCTATTTGCCTATCTAATTTCAATTTCAAAGTCCTCTCCATAATTCTTTCCCAAAGGTTGAGCTCCTTACTACCTCACATAATCTCCCAAGAACAAGGAGGATTTATTAAGGGAAGGGTAATTCATGATCAGATACTCATTGCCCAGGAACTTATCCATGGGTTAGAGTACCCTACCAGAGGAGGAAATCTTGTTATCAAACTTGATATGTCTAAAGCTTTTGACAGGATCTCCTGGAATTTTCTTATGACTGTCCTAAATAAATTTGGGTTCAGTCATAAATTCCAAAATCTTATCCTAAATCTTCTTCAGAGCTCACATTTCTCCCTTTTGGTTAATGGCCATCAAACCAAGAGTTTTAAGCCTAATAGGGGACTTAGGCAAGGTGACCCTATCTCCCCTCTGTTATTCATTCTTTTCTCAGAAGCATTCAGCAGAACCATTAAAGCAGAAACTTCCTCTGGCCATCTCTCCCCATATTACCTTGGGAGGCACTTTCTTTCAGTCACACATCTTGCCTATGCTGATGATCTTATACTTTTCTCTAATGGCAGTGCTAGAAACTTAGCCAAAATTAAGTGCCTGATTAAAGATTATGAGGATGGCTCTGGTCAAAAAATTAACCAGGGAAAATGTTCTTTTTACGCTCCAAAAAAAACATCCCATTCTATTTTAAAGAGAACAGAGGCAATCCTTGGCATGAACAAAGGTTCCCTACCTTTTAAATACCTAGGTGTGCAGATTCATCAAGGTATTAATAGACAGAAATACTGCACAGACCTCCTCAATCTCTTTGACAGCAAACTTCAGGGTTGGTACAAAAAATTCCTGAGCATGAATGGAAGACTTGTTCTCATTAAACATGTGCTCAACTCAATTCCACTTCACTTATTGGGCTGCAGCAAACTTCCAAAGAGCATCATCAAGAGTCTCCATACAAAGATGAGTAATTTTCTTTGGGGTAAAGTAGATGGTAGAAATAAATATCATTGGGCCACTTGGGAGAAACTTTGCTTCCCCAAAGAGGAGGGTGGCTTAGGCCTGACTAATCTCACCACTATTCAAGAAGCTTATGGACTCAAAATGTGGTGGACCTATACTCAAAATGATTCATTGTGGGCAAAGTTCATGAGGGCCAGTTCCCCCAGAGGTCTTGACACTGCCCCCAAAATCATAGACTCTATTTATTGGAAAAGACTTTACAAAGCCAATGGCATTGCGCAAAGTCTGTTCCATATAGATGATTTTGGGAGACTTTGGTGGAATAACAATGATGCTGGTTTTAGCATGAAGAAGGCAAAGAATTCACTGAGAGAGAAAAGCCCCATCCATCCTTTCACTAAATTCTGCTGGACCCCTAATCAGACTCCTAAACACACATTGTTTCTTTGGAAACTTTGTTTTGGCTACCTCCCCCTTCCCAATCACTAATTAGAATGGGATTCCATAGTCCCTCTATTTGTGTTTCTAGTTATATACTCTCATATTCATAAGTTTGTATTGTATTTTTAGAGAGTATAATTTCCTTCTACACTGGCTAAGTTTTGTTCTTCATTTTTATATTCTAGCCGTTGTGTAGAATTATATTTCGTGTTCTTCAAACACACCTTCTTACGGTCGAGAATAGCCGTTAAATTCTCACATTGTAACGGGCAAGGATAGCCGTATAAATCCTTGGGTAAAGGTTCATGGATAGCCTTTGAAATCCTTGGGGGAACGGTAGAAGATAGCCGTTAAATCTTTATTGTAAAAGGTTCGAGATAACCGTGGTGAAATCTCGGAGTGAATACTATTGGCAAGGGTTGTTTGCCAAACTAGTGCGGTGCTTTGACGGAGTTCAAGAGGCCGGAATTTAGTGGATTCGGAAATCCTTAAGGAGGAGCCTTAAGGCACTGGAGTAGGGAGTTCCCGAACCAGTATAAAATTGGTGTGCATTTTATTTACGCTTTTATTTCTGCGTTTTATACATTGCTTCCGCATTTGCCAACACCGTTTTTAATAAACTCCGAAAAGATGTTAAAACGCCTTATTCACACCCCCTTTAAGGCGTGGGCACAACGACTAAACCGACTAACACTATTTTCCAATATTCCAATCTGTAAAAGCCAAGTTTGTAATTTAGAAGATTGTTACTATGTAAGATTTTATCATAAACATTATTAATCTCTTAGTTTTCTAAGATTTTTTTGGTATTATAGGCTTCATAAGTTTTTCTTTTTATGAGATTAATGATTAAAAAATTATCATTTATATCACCCGTTTTTATCCGCTTCACTCGCGGATGATATATGGATCGGGTGATGGATTATGTATGTAGAGTCTGGATGGATGAGGGTGAAGCTCCACCCGAGCAAAACTCGATCCGTTGACATCTCTACAGACGATTATTATCTGTGTAGTTTTAAAATCGTCGGTGAGGACGTGAGAGCATTGGTGGAGGTATTGGTGGTGAGTTTGTAACACAACCCTTTTTTAATATCACAATGAGTAATGCTACATGTTGTGTAATGCAAGGCCCTTCTGGAGGTTCTTTCATTTTGACTAATTCTTTTTCATTTAATTTTAATTGTTTAATTTTACTTAGTCAAGGAAGTGTTAATCCTTTTATTTTTCAAATTGGTGGAGTGAGTGGATCAATTCAAATTGACTCCTACTTTTTGGCATCACCGTACACTTCTTCAACTTTCCAACAAACTTCTCAACCACAATAGCCTCTCCATCTCCTTTTGCTTATTTATTGAGTTCTAACAGAGGTGCATTACCAGTGAAAAACCCAAAACGAAAACTACTCCATATGAAAATTCATTCTGCAGATTTTTCTTCCCTTTGCTACTACTCCATATGAAAATTCCTTCTGCAAATTTTCTGCAGATTCTTATTTCCCTTTGCTGAGCATAATCTGTACAGTTCCTTCTGGCTTTTGTGGGTGCGCACAAAGGCCGGCTTCCGTGTTATCCTTGGGGGACGACGCCTTTGATCAACCGCACCGGTGAAGGAGAAATTGTTTCTAAGGCAGTGGTATTATTCCACGGCACGACGCTTCACTCTCTCTGTTTTTGTTTAAATTTCAGGCGCAAGAAGAAATCCTTGGCAGGAGCACAAGAGGAGACCGGCAGTACCGAACTAACAATTTAGAAACGACTCCTTTTGGTGCTACGAAAATGGCTTTTGCTCTTAACAAACTTCTTCTAGACCGCTCCAAACTCGAGCCGCTCAACGGAAAGAACTACCGCCGGTGGTCGCAGAAGATGCTAATATTCTTCGAACAACTTGAGGTAGACTACGTCTTGTTCGAAGATGCCCCAACTGATTTTGTTGAAGATGTCAACACCACCGACGACTCCACCGCTCCAACTGCCGATGTTGCCGCTACCAAAGCCGTTGCCACTCCAGAGAAGTCCAAACGCACTGCTTCCAAAGACAAGGCTAAGGGAGATGACCAAGCCAAAAGAAAGTACGAGAAGGACAACAAAACAGTTCGTGGTCATCTCCTTAGTCACATGACAAATCCATTGTTTGATTTGTTCATTCCGAATAAGTCCGCAAAGTCAATTTGGGAGACATTGCAGAAGAAGTACGGGGCGGATGATGCTAGAAAGCACAAGTATGTCACCGGAGAATGGCTGCGTTTTCAAGTGGTGGATGACAAATCAATCATGGACCAAGTCCATGAATACGAGAATCTGGTTTCTGATGTCCTGGCCGAAGGGATGATGATGTGTGAAATTTTGCAAGCAAATGTTCTCATAGAGAAGCTGCCACAATCATGGGCAGAATACTGCAAAAAATTAAGGCATAAGAAATGAGACATGCCACTGGACGAATTAGTCTACCACATCAAAATTGAAGGCAAATCGCCTCAAGGATAAGTCAATGTCCTCTTCTATTTTACCTCCTGTTAAAGCTAACCTCGTTGAATCTTCAAATGGCAATAATCACAGGTCTAAAGGGAATTTCTCTGGCTCTTTCAAAACAAATAAGAAGTCCTTCAAGAAACCTGAAAATAAACACTTCAAGAACCATGGTGGACAGATTCAAAAGAAAAATAACGGTGCTTGTTTCGTGTGTGGTAAAACAGGTCATAAGGCTAATCGCTGCTTTAAGAGATTTGACAATAACAAGGATGGAAATGTTCACCACAATCCTCAAGCTAATGTTGTCGAGCATGATGACATCATTACTGCCGTAATTTCTGAAGTAAACATGGTTGAGAACCATGTTGAGTGGATAGTGGACACTGGGGCCTCTCGCCATTTCTGTGCTAATAAAGAGATGTTCGTTGAGTTTGATGAGTCTGCCGAAATCGAGAAGGTGTTCATGGGAAATTCAAATAGTGCAGATGTGCGTGGCAAAGGAAAGGTTCTTCTTAAATTAACTTCTGGAAAATCTTTATCTTTGTCAAATGTTTTTTATGTTCCCTCCCTTCGTAGGAATCTGATTTCTGGAGCCTTACTTAATAAGGCTGGTATTAAGTTTGTCTTGAAGCTGACAAGCTTGTTCTGACCCGTAATGGGGAGTATGTGGGGAAAGGGTATCTCTCTGGTGGATTGTTTGTTTTGGATGTTTCTGTTAACAACATGAATAAAGATTCTACTTCTGCTTATATTGCTGAGTCTATTGATTTGTGGCATGGTAGACTAAGACACGTAAATGTTCATTCTCTGAAACGCCTTAAATATTTAAATTTAATTCCTAACATGATTGAAAGTGGTTTCTCTAAATGTGAAATTTGTGTTGAATCAAAGCATGCTAGGAAGCCCTTTCAATGCGTGAGAGAAAGAAAATCTGAATTGTTATAATTAATTCATACGGATTTAGCTGATTTTAAAAATACTCAAAGTAGAGGTGGTAAATTTTATTATATTTCATTTGTGGATGATTGCTCCAGATTTACCAAACTTTACCTTCTGAGAACTAAAGATGATGCTGAGAATATATTTTTAATGTATAAAGCAGAAGTTGAAAATCAGCTAGACAGGAAAATTAAGAGACTTAGATCTGATAGAGGTGGAGAATATAGCACAAATTTTTTAAAGGATGTTTGTGAGAAAAATGGCATAATCCATGAATATACTGCTTCTTATACTCCACAACAAAATGGAATAGCAGAAAGGAAAAATAGAACTCTTAAAGAAATGATGAATGCTATGCTTTTGAGTTCTGGTTTACCTGATGAAATGTGGGGGGAAGTGGTACTTTCTGCAAACCATATTCTTAATCGTGTTCCACATAAAAAGCTAGACAAGACCCCTTATGAAATTTGGAAGGGTTATGCTCCTAATCTCAAATATTTTAAAGTGTGGGGGTGTCTTGCAAAAGTAGGTTTGCCGGCTTTTAAACGTCCTTATATTGGGTCTAAGACTTTTGATGCTGTTTTTATTGGCTATGCTTATAATAGTGCTGCTTACAGATTTATGTGCCTCAATGATCGTTCTATATGTGAATCTAGGGATGCTGAATTTTTTGAACATATTTTTCCACTAAAGAAGGACATTGTACGTCCTATTTTATCAGCTCCTAATTTTGCATCTGCTTCTGTTCCATCTAAAAATAATGAGGTAATTGAAATCAGGAAAAGAAAAAGGCGTAGGATTGAAACAAATTTTGGTCCTGATTTTTTAACAACATTTTTGGCTGAGATTGATAATTATGATTATATTGATGAGTCTTTGGTTCAAACCTTTTTGATCGAAGAAGATCCTAAGACTTATGAGGAAGCTATGAGGTCGATTGATGCTAACTTTTGGAAAGATGTTATAAATAGCGAGCTAGAATCTATTATGTTCAATAACACTTGGGAACTTGTGGATTTGCCTAAGGGCTTTGAGCCCATTAAGAGCAAATGGGTTTTTAGAAAGAAAATACGACCCGATGGGTCAATTGAACGGTTTAAGGCACGCCTTGTAGTTAAAGGCTTTACACAAAGTTTGGGGTTGATTTCTTCTACACTTATTCACCTGTGGCTAAAATTGCTACTATTCGTGCTTTATTTGCTCTAGCTTCAATGAATAATTTATTGGTACATCAAATGTATGTTAAAACTGCATTTTTGAATGGTGAACTTGAAGAAGAAATTTATATGGAGCAACCTTCAGGGTTCGTTGTTCCAGGCCAGGAGAACAAGGTATGCAGACTTAAGAAATCCTTGTATGGTTTAAAACAAGCCCCAAAACAATGGTTTGAAAAATTCAATAACACAATTCTCAGTTTTGGATTTATTTCTAATGGATCAGATGTTGGAGTTGTGCCCTGATGGCCAACTGTTTATCATTATTCTATCATGTATAGGCAAATATAATATGTTTACACATCTCATGCTAATGTAAACAAATATTATGTTCCTAGATTTATATTTAAAAGATGTTTATCAGATAGTGTTATTCTGCTGATGAGACTAACATCTTGAAATAAATATTTATCTAAATGTCCATAGTCGAGTATTAACGAGAGTGGGATATCGTTAATGCATGTGTGACTAGTGTGTGTTGGATGTTTGACTTAGTCTCATAGTCAATGACGGTGTGTTCGCATCCGCACATGGGCAGATATTATCTAGAGATAATAGGATGCCGGACTGACCCATCCTAAAGATGTTGCTTGAACTTTTAGTTGATGCTCTAAGCATCTTTAGCGCGACCATGGGTGTAACTATCCTTCGACTTGAAGTATTACGTTTTCTGCATATGTGAACCCGCATGCTTTGATGCATTTTCTTAAGCCATATGAAATAAGGATGGTATACAGGCTTTGTTTTGGGTATGCCGCAGCGCGTATTCAGAAACGTAGATTACGTACATAGGATTTGTCACTACTCTTTTTAAAAGAGATTAATGTCTTATGGGGCCCACTGATAAGTTATGACTAAGGAAATTGCATGGCCATGCTGAGATGCTTTTATGACGTCTGTTCCTATTAGTCAGACTTGATAAATCAGTGAATGACTTAATGGATACAAGCTGGATTTTATTAATCCCTTGCATTAAGTTTAGACATTGAGACAAAGGGATACAGTTACACTGAGTCTGAGTCGTGGAAAGGTTTTGACGGTGCAAACGTCTTAACTTATAATCTGGGGGCAATAATGTGTTGCTAGATACCACTTATTGCTTATAGTATTGGTGCAGAACCAATACTGTGGGCAGTTTTATAAGTGCCTATACGGGTCACACACTTTGGACAATTTAAGGAGTAGGATTAAACAATGGGATAATAAGTAATTTGTATATTTGTAAAAAAAATAGTAAAGTAAAATATTTTGGAATATAATATTATATATATAAATATTCGCTTATATATATTATATATATGTACCGATTAATGTATATATATTATATGTTGAATATTTTATTTTGGTTTGTCATTTTAATTATGAAAATAATTATTTTGACATAAACTATTTGAAGTATATTTTATACTTGTTTAAAAATGATATTGGTATTTTATTTGATTTAAAATTAATTTTATATTAATTTTTGGTGTCAAATAAAATACACTTTGAACATTTTAGTGGAGAAGAATTTTGAAAATCCTTTTCACAATCACAAAGAAAATTTTCGGCCATCATAAGGATTTTGAGAATCAAACTTTCCTTGATTGATAATTAAGTGGCTAGTTAATTTTTTTTTGAAAGCAAAAACATGCCATTAACGAATTAAGTGCGAAATACAAGCAGGCGGATCGGAAGGCCAAAAGTTGCCTCGGTCCTCAGAGTTCTTTTGTTTTCTTTTTAAAAGGTTACACGGCACTTTGAAATAAAAAGAGGGTGAAGATTATCATTTTATATATGTGTGTCATTCGGGCATATTTTCTTAGAGAGAAGAAATGTTATTTTAAGTGTTCCATTAATATCATTTTGTGTATAGAAAAATAGATATTATAAAAGATTTATAATAATCTTTATAAAAGATATCTTTATATGTTCTAATAATAATAGGGTTAAAATTAGAAATATAAAATATGATGATATTAGAAATGATCGTATTTCTAACACCATCTGAGACCGCAACAAGCACACAGTTTCAACCTCTGGCCTCGCTTGAACGGTTACGTTTGCACTTTCAACGCTCTTCCTACGACTTCTTCGGTTTTACCACTTACGGAGAAAGGTATAAATTTCTTACTCACTATATGTTTTAGTACGTGATTCTGGGCAAGATAATCATGTTAGGATATTAAAATTTTTATATTCTGCTGCCTATCCTTGCATGGTTACCTTTCAGAGGTATCAGAGCCAACGTACAACACTCTAGTTTTACGTTTGACTTTTAAAATTTTAAAAGTCAAAGTTTTAACTTGGTAATTATTAAAATTCAAAAATTGGTAAAATGATTTTATTTAGTCTTGGAATAAGTATTGGACTTAAATAAATCATTGAAAATGAATTTTAAATTTATTTATTTTAATTCTACCCGTAGTATATATATAAATATATATATTTTGATTTTTCGAAATATATATTTATATATATTGTAGAAATAGTAAATATAATTTTATTTGGACATAAAACATCATTTTATGATTGATAAAATTATATTGTAATTTTTGAATGCATGATTTCCTATTTTGAATTTATTCTATTTATTTAGGTGAAAACCGAAATAAATATGGAAAATTCAAAATGAACTTTATTAAACTTGGAAATATTATTTCTAAGTTGAATAAGGTTTTTGATAAATATATTGTTCAAAATAATATTAGTTAGTAATTAAATAAATATATATTTATATATGTACTCGGTTTTATTACCGAAATATTATATATATTTATATATTTGTATTTTAATTACATAAATGACTAATATATATTTTGGAAAGTTATATCACAGTAAGAAAAAGAATGTTTTTAAAAATATTAAATTTTTGTAATGTAATATTTTCGAAATCAATTTAAATGGCTTTTTATAACTTATTGAGATTTAACTAATATATTTTGGAAATAATGATTTATAAATTTTGGAAATTTTATTTCCATGTTTATAAATGTTGAAAATAATTACTGGAAGTTGCTAAAATAATTGGTAGTTTAATGTTCTTGATGAATTGTACTCGGCCTGATATTGCATATGCTGTTAGTAGACTCAGTCGCTACACTCATAACCCAAGTAGCGAGCATTGGCATGCTCTTAAAAGGCTTCTTAAATATCTCAAAGGTACTATGAATTTGGGTTTACATTTTGTTGGTTATCCTGCAGTTTTAGAAGGTTATTGTGATGCAAATTGGGTAACTGATAATGATGAAGTGAGCTCTACTAATGGTTATGTTTTTACTCTAGGTGGTGGTGCAATTTCATGGAAGTCTGCAAAACAGACTTGTATTGCTCGTTCCACTATGGAGTCAGAATTTATTGCACTTGACTTAGCAGGCCAAGAGGCTGAATGGTTGAGAAACCTACTTGCAGATATTCCTCTTTGGGGCAAGCCTGCTCCACCCGTCTCTATGTTATGCGATTCACAAGCAGCTATAAGCATTGCCAAGAATAAGGTGTATAATGGTAAGAAAAGGCATATACGAGTAAGACATACTACTGTGAGAAAGCTGATTGAGAATGGAGTACTCTCTCTGGAGTACGTTAAATCAGAGAGGAATCTCGCTGATCCATGGACTAAAGGACTTAATAGAAAGTTAGTCCTTGAAACATCGAGGGGAATGGGTCTTAAGCCCATTGGTTGAGGAATTCATAGTTGACACCATTAGTATTTGCTTAGCAAATTTAATGGTCAAACGAAGCTATGGAAAGACTCATCTTTCTTGTTTTGTTTTCCATTCCTATGGTGTGTTGTGTTGAGGTTTAATACTCTATGTAATCCATAGCCTTGTTTGGGTGGTCCGTTGGACTTGATGGATATACAAATTGATTTGTGAGGGTGAGTATTTTATATACTCTTAATGTTTTCATAGCTAGTTTGGTGGTCTACACTGAGGTAGACTTGATGAAATCACCTACGTAAGTGTGAAGGTGTGGCGACCTTCTATGAAAAACTATGGGCTGTTTTTCTAGAGCACTTATGAGCATCCCGAGGTTTGTTGCCAATCTTGAGTGTCATTTATCGCAGAACTCGTACATGAAGAAAGGTGAGATATGTGTTATCGGGTTATCTCTTGACATCAAGAGAGTTCAAGAAATTTATTTTTCTCTCTCTAGATTATGGAGTGACCTCATTTCACTATGTGTTGGTTCAAATATAACATATACTAACACTTAAGTATCAAACCTTATTTTGCTCAGTATTGAAAGTTTTTTAAAAATTTGTCATCCTTGCATTAGTGGGGGATTGTTGTGTAATGCAAGGCCCTTCTGGAGGTTCTTTCATTTTGACTAATTCTTTTTCATTTAATTTTAATTGTTTAATTTTACTTAGTCAAGAAAGTGTTAATCCTTTTATTTTTCAAATTGGTGGAGTGAGTGGATCAATTCAAATTGACTCCTACTTTTTGGCATCACCTTACACTTCTTCAACTTTCCCACAAACTTCTCAACCACAATAGCCTCTCCATCTCCTTTTGCTTATTTATTGAGTTCTGGCAGAGGTGCATTACCAGTGAAAAACCCAAAACGAAAACTACTCCATATGCAAATTCATTCTGCAGATTTTTCTTCCCTTTGCTACTACTCCATATGAAAATTCCTTCTGCAGGAAGAAATCCTTGGCAGGAGCACAAGAGGAGACCGGCAGTACCGAACTAACACTACACCCACCCCATTTTATACTCGATTCCACCATCCACCATCCATTATTTATTATTTATTTAAACTTTTTTTAATATCTTGTCTTTGTGAATGGTGAGGATGGAAGGGTACAAATGGATAGACCCTACCCTAGCATTTTTCCATCCCAATTGCCTTATAAACACCGTAGACACTAATCCTTAGGTTCATCTCTCGATCTCCATCTTCGTCGTCTCTCTCCCTGGTTACCTGAGGTATCCGTCGCAGCGTCGTCAACTCTCCTTCCACTCTTTCACATCATCCAGTTGTCCACTCGTCGCTGCCTTCGCTGTTGGAGGTCGCCGCAACGCTGCCTGGGATCTGTCACTCGCCGGCGTCGATTCGTTGTTGCAGGTCTTTTAATTTGAGTAAATGGTGTTGTTGACTTTTTAATAATATTCCAGAAATTTTGGGCATTGCCCGGCTTCTTCTTGATATTGTAGATTTGGTTATTGGTTGTGTATCTTCATGTGTTTTGTAATAATTACCAGGAATATTTCTTAAATAATTGTTGGTTCTTCATTTTTGTCAGTTTCAATTCTATGAATGTTTTGTCTGAATTGTTTCGTTCCACCTATCACGGTTTTTGTTCTAATTTAGTTGAGTAAAATAGTTTGTATGTAATATTGCTGATTGTTGGCTGGAGTTGGTTTGAAAGTGTTTTTTGAATTTGGATTTTTGTGTCAGATTGTGGGTCATTGTTTAGTTATTTCTTCATAAAAAATATTTTTTTATTATCCCTCATTAGAGTGATTGTACAAAGAGAAAGAGTTGGAGCGAGTACTCTTGGTGGAGGAGAAGAGGAGGGTCAATAATAAAAAAGAGAAAGGGATGAATCAGCAAAAGCAAGCCAAGGAAGCTTATGAAGGCATCAAAAAGAAAGATATCAAGAAGGCACAGAATAAGAAGGTATGTTGTTTTATATTCAGCTAGGTTTTCTCCATGGGTAGTCTAAACCACTTGTATGCACACTCTAAAATGTGAATTGAAGCAGGACCAAAATGGTGGGGAAAAAGAGGCGTGGGGAAAAAGAATGAAAGACGAGAAGATACTAGTGCGGTCGCATGCTATTCAAGCACAGGTGGATGATGATGGCAATAATACAAGTCGGATTCATTCTATAAGAACCGAATTTCACATGATGAATCTGAAAGGGAATGAACTTGACCGGTGTTGCTTTCCTTCTCTCTATTTTTTGGGTTCTATGGTCGTTTCGGGCTCTCATGTCTACATTGTTGGTGGTTTTGATACTTCTGTTGACCACTTGGTTCAAAAACCGGGAGAGCATTTGTATTTGGGTGGGGCTTGNCCTTTTTGTGCTGCCCTTAATGGAAAGATATACAGTTTTGGGTTCTATCGTCCTAGTCCAGAGGTTTATGATCCTGCTGTTGGGGACTGGACATTTTTCTCTGCACCTTTGCCTTCTCATCTTGCTCGTTCTCAAGTACTTTGTGTGCTTCCTGACTCTGCCAACAACCGCATCCTTTTGCAGTTGTCCGGTGGTGACCTCGTCGAGCCTTCCCTATACGCCTTCTACCCCCCCGACGGAAGCAGTGGTACTCCCTCCCTCTTCAAATGCTACTATTCTGCAATTTCCATTTTCTTTTGTTTGTTGCGACATTCAGCATTTGTCTGTAGCATTATAGTTTCTTTAGCAAATTAAAGCCATGAAATAAGCAGAGACAGACTAGCTCTTACTGTGAGATGAGATGGAGATGGCTGATGGTCAGAATAGTAGCTGAATTGCATGAAAAAAGTTGTAAAATTTTGTTACTTTGAAAAGGCATTTTGCTGTTAAGTTAAATATGAGTTAGAAATAATTTTGGATCATTAATTTGGAACAGGTAGTCATTGGAAATGCGTTGCCCCGAGTTTCCGGCAATTGTACCACATCGCCACGGTTGCTGACGACGTGCTCTTCATTCATAACCGCAAGAAGTACCGCTCCTTGATTCTTGGGGCCTATGATTTAGTTAGCAGTATTTGGTTGGATGTGGAGTGGACCTCACCCTTTGAAGACAATGTCGATAAACTAGTTGCTCATAGGCAGTTTAAAGCTGTGTTTCCTTTTGGACCCTGGACTTTGTGCTTTGCTCTTTGGACCCCTGAAGATGTTCTTTTTCCTGAAGTGCCGTCTGATAAAACAAGAGTTATCTACCTCAAGGTTCAAGTTGAACGCACTGGTTCTACCATATACCTCTCTCCACTTTCCAGCCACACCTTTGACCTACCCAACACTATCAGTGTGATTGATTTCATCCCTGTTTAATTATTAGAAAAGGTACTCTTTTACCCGTCTGATTTATGATGTATCTAATGATTATTACTGTTTGACATTTTGAATTCAATTGTTGCATTTCTTTTGATGTTTTTTTTGGCCACTTCACTCTCGAATACAGGATGCATGCCTTGTTTATAACTAACATTGAACAGTTCTTATCATATATTATTGGTCTTCTTCATGTTAGTGGACATGAAGCACGCCATATGGTGGTGGGTTACGCCTTGGCATTTCAAACATTGTCATTGAGCCCTAGGTGTTTGTTTCAGATATTTCATGTTCATATGGTGGGTTACGCCATGTCATTTTGAACTTTTCATGTTCATGTTCATAACAATATTGGAGTATTGGAAAGCTGGAACCCCGTTTACACGAGTGAAGGTGCGGAATAACCAATTGCTTGACCTTTATCTTGCTGATGGAAAAAAAAAAGCCACTTCGGTTCGAGGCAAAATTAAATTTTGATTCAGCATTTTCCATTGTTTGATATAAAGTTTTTCCAAAAAAAAAACAAATTTCCATTATTTGTAAGAAACATAATGTTTATATTAGTACAATATTGATATTTGAATAAAAAACAAAGATATTTTGAGATACTTTGAATATATTTTGGGTAGCACAATTTTTGTAATATATATGATTGGTACCAAGTCTTTATCCTAGAAATCTCAATTATAAAGTATCATATAGGAAATTATGATTGATTTGGAAAAATTGCTTATTAGAAAGGGTTATTTTGGGATTACTTAAAAAAAATTATACATTACAAGTAAGTACTCCCTCCGTCCCGCTATATTCGTCCACTTTTGACTTTTGAAACTATTCATCTAAGCACTTTGACTCATCAAATTTTCTCAATGTGTAAGTCTAAATATAGTCATGTATGATCTTGTTTAATTTGTCTTAACATATAGATTATTAATACATAATTTCTATAATTTTTTAATATACAAATTACAAGGTAAAATAGATTAAAGAAGTGTATTGGATGGTGTGCAAAAATGAAAGTGGACAAATATTCTAAGACGGAGAAAGTAACTAAAAACTTTAATATTACACTTAAAACTATTTTCTAAAAGAATGATACGAGGTTGGTTCAATCTTATTCTCAAATTAAATTACTTAGATTTTTTTATAGCAAGACTAAGTATAATATGAAATAAATGTATTTCTATCCAGATATGAACTAAATTTTTAGATTTTACGACTTACCGTACGTATAAATTTGAGATTTTTATTTCTAAGAAATTGAGCTAACAAAAGTTAGTGAAATATGTGGATATAGTCATTTTGGGGATGGATTTAGCAATATCCTAGTACTTTTATTATGAAAAATGCAGGCAAATACTTTTTTATTCACTATTGAAATGAATAAAAAGAAATCATATGAAACTGAAAATAATATAAAGAAACTTGAAGTTGGAAGATTTAAATTAGAAGAAACTAGAATAAGTTAGAAAAAACTAAAAGATGGAAATAAATATAAGAAGTTGAAAAATGTCGAAAGCTAAGTTAAGGTGGTTGTTAAAAAATATGTTTCTAGAAAATTATTTTCTATTTCATAAAAAAATATTTTTACCCACATTTTCCATTGTTTGATACTCCGTATAAAGTTTTTCCAAAAAAAAACAAATTTCCATTATTTGTAAGAAACATAATGTTTATATTAGTACAATATTGATATTTGAATAAAAAATAAAGATATTTTGAGAGACTTTTAAAATATTTTGGGTAGCATAATTTTTTACGGAGTAATATATATGATTGATACCAAGTCTTTCTCCTAGAGTTATATTTTATTGGGGTTGGGATGACCAGAGGCGGGGGCGGGGGCATGGGAAAGGGCTAGCTAGAGGCGGGGGCCGGTGGAGGAGATGTGAGTGAGTAGGGAAGTGAATTCAAAGAATCAAACTCGATGATTGAGTAAAAAAAAAGATTTTCATTCAATACAAACAAAAGATATTTTCTCTTCTTTAAGATAATATATTTCTTAAAAAATAATTTTCTGTCACTTACGCAACCGAACAGAAGTAAAATTAAAATGTTCTTGAAATTTTTTCCCAAACAAATCCTAAAAGTTAGAGTCCAAAATAATAGATATTTAAAAAACTAAAGAAAAATTGTAGAATCAAAAAAATATTTCGTTCAAACCCGTGCATGTCACGGGTCAAAATACTAGTAAAAAAATCTATGCATGTTTTCCCGAGGTTGATATGCATGACATGAATGCAGACATGGAGGACAAGGTGCATCATTTGCATGTTCTGATTCAAGAAGATGGGGATTCATTTGCAAAAAGCACTCATGATTATGTAAAAGTTGTGACAGAAAAAAATAATTAATGAAGAACTTTAATTTCAAGTCTTGTATCACTCAACACATGGAAAGGGAAAAAGAGAATTCATTCAACACTTTCTTTAAGTAAAAATTCACAAAACACAAACATCCTCGAGAGATTAATCAAAAACAAACAACAATAATTGCGGAATAAGCTAGTCTATAAACTAAAAAATGAAATGCACCAGCTCCAAAACGGAGTTGATAAAATTAATGGTAGAGTAGAAAATTCATCCAAAATTTCTCCCAACATTTTTTAAAATTACTTTTATCTTTTCTCCAAATATTCCTTTTAAAAAAAATAGAAATATAAATAAATTGTATTGCATTCACAACAATTCAAGCAAACATATAAATTCAAATTTCTCAACCATTTTTACAACATTCTTGTTGAACTGCTCAAACCCATGGGTCCTAATTCTTCTAGGTTCAAACCAAATACCGCACATAGATATGCCAAATAAACAGATTCAATAAAGCAATATAATTGAGAAAAAAACATGGAAAATCCCCTCAATTTTCCTCTAATGAGACGGGAGCAACCTAACTAAAGAACACTGGTGAAATTAGACTTTCATTATCTTGAGGTCTAAACACTAAGAAAATTTATTTTATACGCCATAGTATATAGAAAGATTTGTTGTAAATCCTCCTATATACAATGGTAAGAAGCTCTTATGAATAGTGTTCCCGCCAATTCCACAACCACTGATTGGGCCGGATTTGCTGCTGGGCTTGGGCCGACATTGGAGCTGGATTGGGCAGGCATGCTGGCAGTTTCTTGGATTGCGTTTGACGGCTATGTGTGGAGCTCAATAAAGCAATGTAATAATAGTTTATGTGGAAGTGTGCCATATCAATGCTTTAAATCTTATCAATTTAATGGTTAGATTTACAAAATCCAAGCATTTAATGTGCTTAAACCTACTTGCTTTTCCCAAATTATATATATACACCTCTTTCCATCCAAGACCACACCTCTTCCCATTCTAACCACTTATATTAACGTACGGTGTAAGCTTCATATATACCCAAATATGGCTCAAAATTCCGAAAACAGGTCCATGACAATGTTCACTCCAATTGCGGAACTCAACCGCGATAAGAATTCTTGGATTCTCATGTTGAGGGCTATTCGGGTTTACTTCGTTCCTAAATGGGCGAAAGGTGGAGATTCCATGGAGATTGTCTTTCACGATGAACATGTAATATATTCTACAAGTTATTACATTTGTTTTTTTTCACCCAAAATTCGTAATCTCACTTTGTATACTTTTTTTAGGGAACTAGGATTCACGCACATCTTGCTCGAGAGGAAAAAGAGAGGTTTGAAACGCAAATCATTGAAGGTGGCATATATGCCATTCGAAATGTTTTTGTCCATGACAACTATCAAAGATTGAAAACTGCTAGCAATGATAAGCTCTTGGGTTTTTTCAAAAGGACCGAAGTGAAAACTTTAAGTCGAAATAATTTCCCCCGGATGATGTTCGACTTGAAGCCATTTCCAATTCTTCAAAGTCAACCATGTTTGAATGATCAACTTCTGATTGGTAATAATTCTTACAGCATTTTTTTTTTGTGTTAAGCTTCTTTATGAAAATAATGTGTGGCCGAAATAAATTGGTGCAAAAACTATCTATCTTTGTGTTGGATTATGAAATCCATGGGTAGAAGAAAGGAGGAAATGTAGAGATGAAGAAGATGATAAATAGTACAATGTAGCCCCCCTTTTTCCACCTCCCTCTCCTCTTCCAAGAAGAGAAGTATAAATAGAGGAGCTAGGGTTAGGGTTTCGGATTAATGGGCCGGCCCAACAGACTGGGCCGCCCTTAAATAAATAATTAACATACAACTAATAGGTCGGTCCAACAGACTGGACCGCCTCAACTAATATTATACAAAGACCGGATACCCCCTGTCCGGGGTATCCATCATGAGTCCCCCACTTTCCGAGCCGAGAGGAACTCGAGGTGAAGTGGAAGTAGAGCATAAATCCACCACGGAAGGACACCGTCTTCCTTGCTGTCTAGAGTGCACCGCCAACTCGCTGTCCCGAGCACGGTGAAGTAAGGCAAACAACGCCATAGGTCAGAAATGTAATGCCAACTCGCTGTCCAGAGTAAGGCGAGGTGAAAGAATCTGCACCCATGGATACGAGGTGCTCTGCCGACTCACTGTCCGGAGCGACAACGGGAAAGAAGTAGAAGTAATCAGCATGAAGTGCACTGCCAACTCGCTGTCCGGAGTGGCAAAGTGAAATAAGTTGTAGCAATGAGCATGAAAGGAGATGCCAACTCGCTGTCCAGAGTGGCAAAGTGAAAGAAATCGTAGCAATGAGCATGAAAGTTAATGCCAACTCGCTGTCCAGAGTGGCAGAGTGAAAGAAATTGAAGTGATGAGCATGAAGTGCGCTGCCGACTCGTGATCCGGAGTGGCAAGGTAGAAAAGTCTGCCTCAATCTGCTCATCGTCTCTAAATGATCTGCTCTCGTACAGAGTGCATCGTCAGTTCGTTGTTCAGCGCACAATGATCACAATAAGAGTAGGTGATGGAGTCGTCATCTGCAGTCCATCTGTCGTCTTCAGGGATCTCCCCATGATCCCGTTAATGTGTGACTCACTCCATGGGGGATGCCTCATTAAAAACTTGCTGAGGAAAAAACCCATGAGGATGGGAAAAAATCCTCGGTCAAGAAAAGAGTACATCTCGTCCCACAAAGCGAATCAAGAAAAACATTGAAAAAAGGTGTGGGGTCTTCGAGTAAAGAAACTGTGTGAACTCGGAAGAGGCGCTCTTCGAGTCCCCCAGACTCATTGTCCGGAGTCGGGGCCGTTTGCCATAATGTATCGCCAAAAAGTGCATGCCGGCACGAACTACCGTAGTGCCACGTTAGATCAAGATGTCGATCTGCCAAGTTCTCACGGTCTGCGATGTAACAATCACGAGCCGAGTACCCGGAGTCCCCCACTCCCTAAGCCGAGGAAGAATTCTGAGGTGAAAGGGAGTAGTGTTCATGCTCGGCTCTGGTGGGAGTCTTTGGTCCCCTCGCTCTATTATGACTTCTCTGCATATATCAGTTTGCCTGAAAAATCTCATACAAAGAAAAATAAACTGGTGGGCTTGGCCAATAAGCTTGACCAGATCACCCACCCTGTGAGTAGTTAGGTTGTGCCCTAGAAAGTGGGCTAGGGGTGTGCCTTGGGACGGCATTGAAGAGTGCCTCGGGAAGAGGGTTTTGGAATCCTCGTGAGACGAGGGCTTATATGCCTTGCGAGGTGGTCAAGGCCAACCTCGGGAAAAGAGTTGGAATTGTCTGGGAGATAACTTTAGTGCCTCGTGAGGTGGCCGAGGCCGACCTCGGGAGAGGGCTTTCAGTTGCCTCGGGAGACGAGGGCTTAAGTGCCTCGTGAGGTGGATGGGGCCGACCTCAGGAGAGGGCTTTTGATTGCCTCGGGGAATGAGGGCTTAAGTGCCTCGTGAGGTGGACGGGACCGACCTCAGGAGAGGACTGTGGGATGCCTCGGGGGACGAGGACTTGAGTACCTTGCGAGGTGGATGGGGCCGACCTCGGGGAATGACTTTTTGGTGCCTCGGGAGACGAGGACTTAAGCAACTTGCGAGGTGGCCGAGGCCGACCTCGAGAAAAATATGGAGTGCCTCGTGAGGTGGACGGGGCCGACCTTGGGAGAGGACTTTTGGGTGCCTCGGGAGACGAGGGCTTAAGCAACTTGCAAGGTGGCCGAGGCCGACCTTGGGCAAAGAGTCAAGTGCCTCGCGAGGTGGCTAGGGCCGACCTCGGGAGAGGGCTTGAGTGCCTCGTGAGGTGGATGGGGCCGACCTCGAGAGAGGGCTTTTAATTACCTTGGGAGTCAAGGGCTTGAGTGCCTCGTGAGGTGGATGGGGCCGACCTCGGGAGAGGGCTTTTAATTGCCTTGGGAGACAAGGGCTTGAGCAACTTGCGAGGTGGCTGAGGCCGACCTCGGGAAAGGAGTCGAGTGCCTCGTGAGGTGGATGGGATCGACCTCGGCAGAGGACTTTTGATTGCCTCAGGATACGAGGGCTTTGAGTGCCTCGTGAGGTGGCCGAGGCCGACCTCGGGAGAGGGCTTTTGGGTGCCTCGGGAGACGAGGGCTAGAGTAACTTGTGAGGTGGCTGAGGCCGACCTCGGGAAAAGGGTGAAATAATGTGCCATCCGTGAGCTCTGCTAGGCGGGCTCAGTTGCAAATGTCATGTGGTCTTCCGCTTTGTACCTGAAAGACAAAATATGAAAAATTCCTCCGTTGTTGTTGCTCTTTTTTTTGTTGGGCGGCGTGGCGCCGATGACGCGTGGTAGCGTAGAAGTGCGATCTCAGCAGATCTAATATTTGTCCTAAGCAGGACTGGCAAGTTTTTGTCCTAAGCAGGACCTTGCAATACCCTCTGGAGGGATTTGCTCGCGCAATGACGAGGACCGCGTGAGGCCATATCGTGGCGTGGAAGCCCGATGATGCACAGCTGCATAAAGTCGCATGGAAGCGAACATGAAATCGCGTGGAAGCGATATTATATTTTTTTTTATTTTCTTTTTCTCTTTTTTTTTCTGACAAAATACCCAAGTTGTAGAAGCAAAGTAGCACAAATCTAAGTTGGAACCATTTAGATGATGAGTAGGTACATATTTGAGCTGAACTGGGGAGGTGGGTCGCAGCCCGATGAGATCAAAAGTGATGAAGATCATCGTACTCGGATATCAGAACATGTACTCTATCGTATGAAGGGAAAGCTAGAACAAACTTCACAAAGCCCCTCAAGTTATTTGGAATTAGAATAGGCACCCGGCTGAACATAGTACACCCGGCATCAGCAGACTCGGCTGGCTAAGATCACCACCGCCGAGCTAGAGCTCATAACATTATCGGGCAAATTCACACTCCGTCATGATCTTGAGTTCGGACTCGGTTCGAGCTCCACTAGAAATTATAAGCTCGGCCTCTGAAGTTGTCACGTACTCGGCCGTATCCGTGCGCTCGGTCACATGAGATTTTGACCCAGATGCATAAGAGGGGAGGGGGAGATAATAGAGAGTCTTCTCAGAACCCGGGTAAAGAAACCAAACCTATGATGGTGAACGTCGGGCATCTCTCACCGAGGTTGCCCCAAACAGCGGACCCCAATCAATGGATCCCCTTTTTATCTATTTATCCTTGTATAAATTCCAATAGAAATGCAACAAAATTGTACAAAACATGAATTGAGCATGAGTCCCCTATCAACTGTCCAACTTTGAATTTTGGTCCCTTTGTGTTAGGTAAACATAATAATGGTACCACTTAGACTGATTTCTCTCGCTTACAGGCCATCGAATAGTATTGAATCCGGCTCTCTTTTCCTTTAAGAAATACGAGCACACTAACGTGTAAAAATAATGGGAGAATGACACTTTCTAACCTTTCTCTTGAAGCATATGATCTCCGGATCGGGAAAAATAAGATGATAATCATATTAGTTGTTGCGAAAAAGATGGACGGGAGACGTCAATCATGGTGATGCACCGCTCGACTGGGCCACTTCGGTTGCCGGTGGAAAGTTTAACCTCCGAGATTGGTGAATGATGCCTGCCCACTGATGAGTGGTGACCATTTTTGGATGGAGAATGAATGCATTATATGCCACGTACTTCTTAAAAAAAAATTTGGCCCCCAACCAAACAATAATTGTAATGTGCGAAAGGGGCCACACTTCTATTTCTCTGGATTTTTCTCATAGTGCCACTCCTCTTATCTTCTTTTTATACCTCTTCATCAAGATTACAGCACATGGGCACATGGGGCGGGAGTGAATCCTCTTCATTGAGGGAAGGTAAAAAAGACCTACCCTCTCGGCAATTGACAGCGACCGGACATGGGCACATGGTCACCGCTACTATTCCCGTTGTAAGCATGGGAAAAGAGGAACGAAGGTCACACATGGCCCAGGATCTCAATAGCTTGGATTTAGATTTGAAGCTAAAATCTTTGGCGGACGTGAATCCCCCAGCATCTTGACTCGAAGGTGGGCATGTCTGATTGGGGAGAATCCAAGCAAATTCGGCAATGACAAAGTGTTCGACGGAGCTAAGATCAGGTTCAATTGCTTCGATATGGCCGGCAGAGACCTGGATCTACTATCTGCTTCGTCCAACGGCATCTGGTTCACGCATCCCGAATATCACTGGTCCGGAGTCTAGAGCTCCTGCTCTCGCAGCTTCCTCCTGTCCAGACTGCTTGACTCAGATGGGAATCCGGTAGGTGAGCCGGCCTTTAGCGTGGTGGGCAGAACAATACCTCAAACAAACCTGAGCTTAGATGCAATCGACGGTCCAAGTCTGATGGCGGTCTAACGGAGAGTCACCCTCGGGCGAGAGATCCTCTCGACAGCCCACCGACTTGTGAACGGAGCACAGAACCTCGAACCGAGGTTTTTCAACATCGAACGGCGATTGGAACTGAAGTGAATCCGAGGTGAACCTCATATGCCAATCTGAATCTCTGTTCGGTTGAGTCAATTTGAGCAGGAGGAAAAAGGGGTAGATCTCTATTTTGATTTTCCGGATTAGGAAAAACAAAGGTGGCTCTTCAGTGCGAGGTCGTCTGATTGCTGGGGAGAAGCATTCGCCATGCCTCGTCTGCTCTCCAAATGGAGAACTGCCTGAATCGGGTCGGGTCGTAATCCGACCCAATCTCCTCCTGGCCTTAATCTGGATTCTCCCCGCGTCGATTTCTGCCTCGAAAGGAAGCATTTCATTTGGTCACTGTGGCCGCACGTGGCTGCCTAGTGCTACACCCACGAAATTGGAAAATGAAACACCTGCGTTGATTTCTTCCTCCAAGTTCACCACTCAAACGGGGCCGGCGGAGAACTGAATCTGCTATCTGCTACCCCGCGCGGTAATCAGTTCGCGCATCCCGAACGTCACTGGTCCAGACCCCGTCGTCGCAGTGCTGCTCCCAGGAATCGCAGATTGGAGCGCCGCTTGGAGGTCTTTGAAGAGGATGCGAACGGCCTGCCGGTTTGTCGAAGCGTTCGCCTGGTACCCTGGGACTGGGAAGGATGAAGAGCGACGCCGTACCTGGGGCGAGAGAATGAAGTCGGCCAGATCTGGCTTCAGTTTTTGCTTCGGCAGGAGGAAGTGAATCCAGTAGAACCGGCGGACTTCCACCTTAGAAAGTGCGGATGCTGGCTTGCCGACGGTACAGACCTTATGGGATGAAATTCCAGATTAAGAAAATGATGAATCCTCCAAATCTCAATTTGGGTTTTCCAACGTCAAAAGAAATGACGAGTTTGGAAGATGAAAAATCAAAGAAAAAATTAGAGAGAGCACGCTTGATGCGTCCGATCTCTCAACGAGAGCACCAATGTTGGATTATGAAATCCATGGGTAGAAGAAAGGAGGAAATGTAGAGATGAAGAAGATGATGAATAGTACAATGTAGCCCCCCTTTTTCCACCTCCCTCTCCTCTTCCAAGAAGAGAAGTATAAATAGAGGAGCTAGGGTTAGGGTTTCGGATTAATGGACCGGCCCAACAGACTGGGCCGCCCTTAAATAAATAATTAACATACAACTAATAGGTCGGTCCAACAGACTGGACCGCCTCAACTAATATTATACAAAGACCGGATACCCCTGTCCGGGGTATCCATCACTTTGTCATTCAAACAAAAGCCAGTATTGATACCGTTACAAAATAAATTATGCTGAGCCAGATTGCTTGACCAATTGCTTAACAAATTGCACAATGAAATGTGTAAACAAATGCATAACGACGCAAACACATAATCATGACAAAATATACACATAGACAAATTTCACTTTAGAACATGTACACAAATGCATAACGAAATATAAATGTGATCAATTCTGAGAATAGCTAAGCAATTGCTTCAGGTATTATTTCTTACTAGATTTTAAAGGAAATGATCCAATTGATTCTTTTTCAAAAATAATCTAATTACCTTCATGCATTCCCCAAGTGAATTTTTTTTATCAATATTTGATCCAGTACGTAATCACAAAAATTGTTATGCATACGTGATTGGAAAGATTGTTGCCCGAACCAAGATTCAAACAAACTTAATCAGAGGCAGAGAGCAAAAGTTTATGGAAGTTACTCTGGAAGACCATGAGTAAGCTAACATATTATACAAAATATCAGCATTTAATTAAATTGAAATAATAAATTCTAATTTGGTCCCCGTTGTGCTACTATAGGGGGAATCGTTTGGGATGCACCCTGTGGGGGGAATATGTTGATCAATTTCTGGGATGTTTGGCCCAGAATGCCCATGAGCCGGTTGTCATGCTGTTGAGTTTTTGCCACCCTAGACGTTATAGGGGTAAACTAACTATTTACATTATTTCGTTCTTGCCACCCAATGCGCTATGGGGGTAAACTAACTATTTAAATTACATTGTATGTTTATAGGTACTGTCACTGTCTCTACTGCGTTTCATGTTACAAAGATGTTGTTCGATGGTAATTCTGATGAGGTCACTGAATTTAGAGCCAGGTACATTAATTCAATATGTATAAAAATGAACAATGTTCATTGTTTATATTTACTAATCTAATGCGTTCTTAAATGGAACCAGGTTGCCTCCACAGGTGGACGAAGGTAGTATCGTTCTAAGCGGTGGAGCATATGGGGAAGAAGGTGTTGTGAAGACTACCACAATCAAGGCTCTATTGGACACCACAAAGGTCAAAATTTAATAATTAGAGTAAATCACTACAACCTAAACATTTGTTGCATACAATTACAACTTTAAGAGCTGTGACTTTAAAAAATGACATGAATGAACACTTTTTCCTAATATAAAATAAGTCAATATTGTACATTTAATGTACAGTGCACTTATTGAAATGTATCTTTGTTGTATGTGCAGGCTGGCCCCTACTGGGTTCACTACAAAAAAAGAGGGCAGTACCGACAGATTCTTAGCGACAGAAACATTATTTGTCGCTAAAAAGAGAATATTACCGACAGATAAAATTATTTGAAGGCAAAAACTGTTTGACCCACAGAAAGAGTAATATCTGTCGCTATAGCTTATAGTTTTAGCAACAAAATTTAATCTGTCGGTATTGCTTATAGTTTTAGCGACAAAACTTTATCTGTCAGTATTGTTAATAGTATTAACAACAAAAAATATATCTGTGGGTATTGTTTATACTATTAGAAACAAAAATTTATCTGTTGGTATTGTTTATAGTTTTAGCAACAACGTTTTATCTGTCGGTAGTGATTTTATTAACATTTAATTTAAATATCTTAATTATAAAAAACCATAAAAAAATTAATAATAATACTCAGTAATAACAATAACAACAATAAACAAACCAAATTGTATAAACTCCCTACCCCACTAGTCCGGAAGTTACTACTCCGTAAGTTTTTACCGGGAGTATAACCTGATCGAATACTAATCGCACTCATCGCTAGAAACTAGTACTCCTCCGCGAGACTCATCGTCCCAGTACATCGCCATCGCCATCGCCAAAGACCAATACATCGCCATCGCCACAGAGACTCATCACCATCGGAAATTCGGAACTCTTCTTCGTCTCTTTTGTCTGAGCGTGTTCTTCACTCATCACACGCTAATTAGGTATGTCGGCTACACTTCTTCATCTTCTTCGTGGTCTCAATCTCTCATTCAATTTCTTTCTCAATTTATTTAACTTCTATTTTACAAATTTCTTGGTCATGTGCTGGTTAATTACATATACAACCAATTTTGTGATTTGAACCATTAATAATGTGGAAATTCGGAACAAGGAGTTCTAAATTGAAGGTTGGAATTTGGAACAGGGAGTTCGAACTCTATGTCCAGAACCGTAGTATTGTTCACATGTCCCTGAACCCTAATATTGTTCACATGCCTAGAACCAAATTTTAGGTTGTATATTTAAATTTTCGTTTAGCTATATTTTATACCATTTAGTTGCATACTCTGGTTTTATGCGAAGGACATTCCCATGGCATAAGGAGTTTGGAAAATTCGGGTACTTAGCTAACGTTAATTTGATAGAATAAGGCAAAGCAAGTGTGTCTATCCTGCCATGTTCTAGGATGATGATGATGGCTTATTAATTAATGTACAATCTAAACTATCATTTGTGCTCTTTCTTTTGCTTTGAGGTCATATCCAATATGCTTGTGGGTTGGTTCATAGGTTCAGAACATTGGGCTGTTGTTATCTCAAGTGTATAAATTGCAAACAGACCCCTACTAGTTGTGTATCAATGAATGCCCTCAAGCAAAACTGATTTTTAGTTGTGAATTGTGACATGACATTTATTACTAGTATTATGGAGTATGATTTGTAATTGAACATTTGAAGGCCAGTTGCAATAAAAGTTTTGCAACCCAATATGCTCTTTTACAGACATTAAGGTTCAAAATGCTTCTAATTGTTGTAAAGCTAAGATGGTGTTAAGGGTTGTGGTAGATTGAATTCTTGTACTAAACGATGCGCCTTGAAGGAGGAGAAATCAAAAGGATTGAAAATTGAACAAGACCATGAAGAAACAAAAGAGAGACTCCAGAATTTAGAAGATGTAGTGTCATTGCTTATAAATACCATGGTTAGTCTCTATTTATTATTGTTAACTACCCATATATTTCATTTGATTTTTGTTTAGCTCATTATATAGTTTAAAGTCATGCCACCTAGTCTCATAAGGTAAATTTGGTGCAAAATATGTAACTAGGTTATAATGTGCTTATAATTTTTTTTCATAGGGTTCAAAAGCTAATCAATCTGAAATCGATGCCCTTACGACTGATGGTAATACAACCACTGAGAAAAGTCATGACAAGGAGCGATGGAACAAAGATGATGAAGCTGAGAGCGATGAACTTGAAGATGTATACAGTGACGAGCATTAAAGCTTTGGACTATATCTTTCATATCGATGCGTATTTTAGTTCACTTTGACTGTTTATACTTTAGTTTAAATGATGAACTATTTTTGAGATGTTGGTTTACATTCTAGTAAATGGGTTAGTTGTAACACTTTGAAATGTTATCGTATTATGTATTGTTGTTAATACAAGTATGAATATTATTTTTTATTTGTCAATGAAATTATTTAATATGACTTAAATAGTTGGTAATGTAAATGTTGGACAAAATAAGCTATTACCGACAGAAAAAAATGTTTTGCTCACAGTTTTTTCTGTCAGTAATCTAACTTTTAGCGACAGTTATAATAAATGTTAACGTTGGTAAAAACAAGGTATTACCGACAGAAAAGAAGGATTTACCCACACTATGTTTTTTCGGTAATTCATTTTTTAGCGACATATATGTTTTGTTGGTACTTCTCTCTTTTTTAGCGACATCTTTGATCTGTCGCTATTACACTATTTTAGTGACAGTATATTTTATCTGTCGGTAATACTTTTACTGACGGAGTTTTTAGCGACAGCTTAGCGACAGACAATTATCTGTCGGTAAAAGCAAGTAGCGACAGATATTTAACCTTTAGCGACATATTGACCCCTGTCAGTATTGCCCTCTTTTTTTGTAGTGGTTGTTGGGAACATAGCATCGATTCATGACTCGGGTGATTGGTGCTACTTAGGGTGCACTGAATGCAACAAAAAGGTCATTCCTGATGGGGATAAATTCAGGTGTTCAGGTTGTGACATTACCATGCCGCACGGAGTCTACAGGTAAACTAAATTACAGTGTTTCAAGTGAATATATTACCATATTTAGCAGTATGTGAAAGACCACCCGACCTAACCCCGTTATTTATAGGTTCAAGGTCAATGTTCGAGTATATGATTCGACTGGTCATGCTTCGTTCATACTCTGGGATCGGGAGTGCACGAGACTTTTGGGTGCAAGTGCGTTTCTGCTCAGGGAAATCATGCTCGAGGTTGAAATACATCAATATTTTTTTAGACAAATATAGTTAGTCTAAACTAATATCCCTGATAAATATAATTTTAATCGATTTTCTACAGAAAGAGATTGACCCGAATTTCCTCCCTACTGAACTTAATCGGTTGCTTGGTCTACGAGGGTTGTTCCATATTCAATTGAAAGCCGAAGAGGGGAGTCAATCTTGGACTGGACCAAGAGCGTTTGGAGTTAGATCTTTGGTCACAGATTCAAAGATCTTGAGCAAATATGAAGACTTGAGTGTTGTTGAAGATGAAGGAATTGATGAAGAAAGCGAAGGGTTGTGGGCATCTCTTGAAGATTTGAGTCAGAAAGTTCATGAAGTGGTAATATTACTATCACAGTTACGTTATCCCAAATATTTTAAATTTATACGTTACTAATTAAAGTTGTGTTTTTATTAGGTTGGTTCGAGTGATCCAAGCTCCACCCAGAGTGTCAACAACAAGTCGAAAAGAATTGGTGAGTTGGTCAAAAATGACTCAGTGAAAAGAGAGCTGTTTGATGAATCATCTACCAATGAGGCTAAGAAAACCAAGAAGGATCCCGCCAGCCCGTGAAGCTCCATGATGTGTTGTTATTTTTAACCACCATTAACCACCTTTGTTATTTTTGTTAGTTTTTGTTTTTTGTTGGTTTCAAAAGGTGGTATGTAATTCCTAGGCGATGTCCTAGAGTACTCTGAAATTGTGTTTTGTCGTCCTTTTCTACTCTAATTAATCAAGAATTATGTTATCCTCTTTGCATGACACTTAGATTTTAAAACATGCGCGTGGGACGATGCCATTTGAAATTTGAATAAATTTGTTGCCTAAAAGCTTAAATGAGTATGCAAATTTCGAATTACTATATGGTATGTTGCCTACAAGCTAAAGTCATAAGATCTACAAAACATTTTTCTATATATAAAATTAATTTTCGTGTAGAAATGTATAGTGTATGAAAGAATGGTGATTTTTTTATAACGTATATAAAAATATGAGGGGTACATGAAATTTTTTTATGGTGTATTAAAAAACAAAGAAAATTAATTTATTTGTTTTTATAACGTATATATACGTTATTTTTTAAATTTAAAAACAAATAAAATTAAGTTATAAGAACATTATATATTTATGAAGCACACGTTTAAAAAAAAGACAATAATGTCTTTGGTTCTTAATGCCTAAGAGAAGTGATGGCATTTAATGTGATAGTGCTTGGTGTGTTTATCAATAATAATCATGTTAAAGTGAATCTATCATCAAAGAGCGTGAATTTGCTATATAAACTAATAAATGGCGTTGGGAAGTAAAGATTACTTCGTGAACAGTGATGGATTTAGAGTGAGGGTACATTGAATATATATATATATATATATATATATATATATATACATATATTTTTTTTGGAAATAAAAAAAAATTTCGTATAATATTTGTATAGTGGTTTTGATATGAATACTCACAAATTTGTTTTGCTCCTTGTAAGTTAGAATTGAATGAATATCCGATAAAGGAAAAGAGGGATGTGGGTAATTTAACCCAAACATAGTAGGCTATTCCGTTTCCTAAAAGAAATAAAGCAGACGGATTTAGCAACTCCATTTCTAATAATTTATAAAAAGAAAATGGAGTAACCAATTCTATTTTACACTGTCAAAAATAATTTTCTTGATTTACACTGCCAAGTAATATTGAAAACATTAAATATGTCGGCCGTTTACTCTAAAATTGCCAACAATATGCTTAATTTGAAGAAAAAAAACATCAACTATGTATAAAAATATTTTATATAGTATATATAGAACTGTCCATATGCTTAATATGCGTACTTCTTCTGTCCCAATTTTGATTGTAATTTTTTTTCTCTTCTATCGATAACTTTTGTTTATTTGTGTATTTTCATTAATTATTTGATAAATTAAATGTTTTTGTCGCCTCTTTTAATATATAATTTTTATTTTCTGTCGATATACCAATTTGTGAATAAAATAATTTTAAAATATAAAAATTTTTGCCTCGTAAATCTCAAATTATAATCAAATTGGGAAGGAAGAGAGTTTTTTATGTGAAATTTGCACTAAATAACACTAAAACATATGTCTTTTCCCAATGTAGCACTTAAAGTTTGTCTCGTTGCGGAAACAATGTCCAGTAATGGGGGACATTTAGTTTGAACAATGTCCAGTGACAGTGGACATTTAGTAGAACAATGACCAGTGCCATCAATATCTATCTTCAAAATAGGAATTTTATATTTTTATTTTTAAAATACAAGTTTGCACCGTGTAGCCTTATGACACTATATACTGACATCTCACGGTTTTATAATATTATATATTGATCTTATTTTAAGGATAAAAAACATGAAGCTCATATTTTGGTACTTTATTTTTTTATTTATAGTATTTTTTTCAAATAAAAAATTTAAAAATAATTATAAGACGACGAGAGTAATGCTACATTCTCTATTTTCTTCAACTTATATTTTTAATTTATTACTCAGTACTTATTCTTATTCAAATGAGACTAAACATTCAATTGAGACGAAAATAAAAAACTCTAAAATTTACCCTTGCAGGCCATGTTCTTTTGAGGTAGAAAAATTAAATTTTAACTTTTTCTAACTTGTTTGATTGTCTTTCAACTCCTTTCAGTTTCTTCCAACAACGATTTAAAAACGGTATTTATATATGATAAATATATAATAACATTATATATCTAAATTTATAACATATCACTTCAAATACGAACAAAAAAAATTCTTTTTATCTAAAATTAGAACTTTCTTATATATGTTTATTTGAATGATCATTTAATTGAGTAACTTTTTAACATTTTAATTTTTCCCACTCATTCTAATTTTTTCCTAACTTATTCCAATTTCCAGAATTACAATCCAAAAGATTAGGGTCACAATCCAACGGTGACGATCCAAGTCATCAATCCGAGCGAAATTTTCAATATCCTTCGCGAAATTGTGAAATTGGCGCCACCGCATTTCCATTTCCAATTTCGGCGCTGGATTTTCCCTCGTTTCTTCGCTCCCCCTTATTTAAGACACCGAATCCCCCGCCCAATTTCTCCAGTCTCATTGCCTCTCTCTGCCTCGAAGCTTCCCAAGAGTAACACTGATTCTCCTTCCGGGCACGAAATTCCGTTCAGATGGCCGGCGGCAGAGCATCCGGGAAGTCGTCGACTGCGCCGAGAGTCAGGAAGCGGGTTGAGGTTGATTCCGGCGAATCCTCCTCCGCAAACCCTAGCCTCAAGCGCGCCAAGGACGGCAGCGCCTTCACTCGCTGGTATGCATCTCCGCCATTAGCGTAATTTATCACAATTTCATGTTTTTTGGTGCTGCGATTTTGATTGGTGTTGCCTTGATAGATCTGTTGTGTTCTAATTAGTGGTGATTTTATTTTATGAGAGTGGAAACTTTGCTTTTTTTGCTTATTATTGGTAGCTTTGAATCTACTGTGAAGTATTGAGTTATTAATTTGGTTGAATGGATTTGATAAATTGTTAAGGGGCCTTTTTTTTGCAGTGAGGAATGTAACAAGGATGTACCAGTGGCTTTGATTAGTTTCCACAACTGCAGTCTGGATGCCAAGATCAAGATGAATTTGGGTATAAATTTTTGTTTTAAACTATAACTCCTATGCTGTCGAAAAAGTATTTTGATTGGGCTACTTTTAGTTTTGCTGTATGGTGAAGTGAATGTGTCTTCTAAAGATGATTGTTTTTCCCAATAATAAAACCCAATGGTTTGCAGAAGCTCAGATCATTGAGATGCCGGCTGAGGTCAAGAAAAAACCATCTGAGAAGTAATTTTACATTTTACATTTAACTTGCTTTGGTTTTGGGCTTCTTGTAATGTTAATGTGCTTCCTTGTCAGTCATGTTTAACAAGTGTGAAATGTAGGAAAAAGACAAGCTCAACTCAACCAAAAACCAAGAAGCCAAAGGATCCGAATGCTCCAAAGCGCCCACCCACGGCTTTCTTTGTTTTCATGTACTATTCTCTCTTTTGCGTCGAAGTGTTTTTCAAGTTTAAATTTATCCAAATGAGAAAGAACCCAATATATGCCATAAAATGCTGATTATATTTAATGTAATATTAGGCAAGAGTTTAGGAAGACATTCAATGAAGCAAATCCAGATAACAAGAAGGCCTCAATGGTATGGTAACAACTATGTGTTCTGATATTTTGATGAATCCAATATACTCTATACATTTGATGTGAGATTTTTCATTGTAAATTTAGGTTGCCAAAGAGGGTGGAGAGAAATGGAATTCCTTGACAGATGTAGTAAGTTTGCAATTGTTAATATTGTCTTTGCTTCCCAATAATGTGAATGTTCATTATAATTATAGTAAGTATGACCACAACTTTTGTTGATATTTTTTTTGTATTCTTAATCCCCTATAGGAGAAGAAGCCATATATTGACAGGGCTGCAGAGCTCAAGGCAGAATATGAAAAGGCCTTGGAAGCCAACAATGCTGCTGCGAATGAAGATGTAATCTCATTTCTTCCATGCCTATGAAGTTTTAGATCATTTCACAATTCTTTACCTTTAATTATTATTTTTTATGTTGGTTTAACCTTCCATTTTCTATTCATAGGATGGAGATGAATCAGATAAAGAAGCGAAGGAGACTGAAGTGGAGGAAGAGGAAGAGGAAGAGTAGTGCCATTTGTTGTCGTGTTTGTAGTTTCTTGTTTTGATGCTTCATGCTTGTTTTCTTGGGCTGTTGTAAATTTCTAGTTATTGGTATTCTCTCTTTTTAGATTATTTGTCCATTTTTGACTCTTAGTCAAGCAGGCTAGTGTTACCATTGCGTACAAGTTTGGTAAAGTTTTGCAAATGCTTAGCTTTTGCTCCATCTATCTTATTGAAATTATTCTCATATTGATTGCTTACATTATTTACCATACTTTCTCATAAAACATTTTCTATTTGTTTTGAACCTTTGATATAGTTTTGAAAGAGATTGTTAATATTTTGAATGAAGGAGTATTTATTTCTTAATTCATTCTTAAACTTTAGAGTTTAGTCTTTTGGATGATTTGATGGATTTCTTAAAGAGTATACAAAAATGCGAGGAATACATGGAGTATTAACCAGCTGAAATTGGTAGTTGCTAGCTGTTGTAATAAACAAACCTCTTAAAGCCCAAAATTGTCTAATAACTCAATAGAAAGTAGTAAATAAATAGAAACCACTACTCCTTATAAACTAAAAAAAATCTTTTTTATTGTAAAAACAGTGTTATTATTTGTTAGAATTAGTAAAGCTTTGAAGCCCAATAAAATATTTGAAAATACTCTGCATAACCCTACATCGTATTGGTGCCAGTTTCGCTAAAATAGATACAATAGAACCGACAATTTCGAAACAGGACAGGTATCATGTCCATCCCTAATTGCATGTGGTGATCAAGTGTGCAAGTGTGGCATTATGGATTATGCTCTGTAATGTTGATTAAAAACAACCAATGGAAAAAATATATTTTCCTAATCTCTGGACTAATTGTCTCTCTCATAATTCTTTTCTGGTAGTACTATCCTCATATAGGGGTAAATTTGTAACACATCTTGGTGGACAAATGAAATTGGGGCATGATGATGATGAAGTATTTGATATGGGAATGTTTTCACATTGTTGACTGCACAAGGCCAAGTTCATTTTGATATGCTCATTCCATTCATTACTTTGATCTGTTCTAGATTCTTGCATATATTGGCTACAATATTAGGAGTAAAACATGAGGAAAATATTAAATTTGGAACTCAATATTTTTATTTTTAAAATCACCTTGGTTCCCATGATATTGGGAACCAATGTAATGGGATGACCCAGGAGCGCTCCGGTGCCCCGTTCGTAAAATTGACGGTTCCTACCCCCCAACCCCCCC